TTGAAAAAAAGACAGGGAAGGAAGAACTTTGTAGTTATCCCACATTGAGTGCTCTTCCAGAATTGGCCTTTTTTTTATTTTTTTATTTTTTTTGCTGGGGGAGTGTTTATGAAGAGCAGATGAGTAGTGCTGTCCTTTCAGAGTCTAGCAAGGCTGGTTGAGAAGCGGGTCCCCAAAGCTGCTGGCTAGGTAGTGGGAGAGTCCTTGAGAACAAGCGGTACTAACAAAACAAGGGGCAAGATGGACCTCTGCACTAAATCAGTACCCAAGGAGAGAAAATTAGACTCTCCCCATGGTCAGCAGGAGCTGCCAGGGGCGCAGCTTCACTAGCGTTAGTGTTATTCCTCATTATCTGCTTTCTGGAAAGCCATTATTGCCTTGGATGTGTGGCAGCGTGGAATGCCGTGCTTCAATACAAGGGGCTTAACTGGTGATTTTGTCTAAACGAAGTCATTTGTAGCTATGGCAAAGCAATAGGAGGTTCATGGGCACAAGCCATGCAGATACAAGCTGGGTTTTGTTGACTTTAACACAACAGAACTATACTCGGAGCAAATGAAGTCTCTGAGATTTATTTTTTTTTTGGTTTGAGGTCTTCTTGTGTGGGAAGAAGAGATTAGTGAGTTGTTCCTAAGCTGTCCTTTGTTATTGTCAACACTGTTTGGTTTAGCCATGATTTCAGCTAATCTTCTGTGTTCCTTTATATTTTTTTTTCCTCTGATTCTGTCTTTTTTTGCAACAGTGTTGCAAACCAAGTCCAAATGTTAATAAGGACATCTCCCCCTCCTAGGAATCATTTGCATTGAAATGAAAGGGTCATTTTAGATGGGTTGTGTATCATAGTTTGGACTTGTTATAAGTATTTCAAGGATCTATTGAAGTTTTCCTAAGAAAGAGGTGAGGTGTAGAGAATGAGAGCACATATTCACCCCATAGCCCAGCGGGCTCAAAAAGGTCACGGAAAAGCGCACTCTCAGTTGCGTGCAAGGAGCCAAGCTAAAAAGAGTTTCAAAAGACTGCAGCCCTGTGAGAACGGAAGGGAGCAGGTGGAGAGGTACAAATAGCCATAGAGAAGGGAGATGTGCCAAGGAAAAAGGCAGCTTATCATCCTTGTGCTGGAATGCAGCAGATTTGGGGACAGGTCTGGGCTTCCTCCCTGCCACCAGCAGAAGGGAAAGAATTGCCCGGGGGAGGTGAAAGGGTCAGAGACCTGTGGGCCCCAGAGCAGCTCTATACATCCTGAGGTTTGCAGCACAAATAGCACTTTGTTATTCCCTGTCACACAGGTGGATGACAGGAAGGACAAGAGGACTGTTAGGCAAATCTTGACCACAGCAGCACACCACAGATGGCAACCAGCCCCCTAGAGAGAAAACCTACTGCCAGTCTAATATTTTTTGAATGGATCATGTGGAGAGACTCCAAACAGTAAGTTTAACTCTCAGAGAGAATGTGGGATGGGCATGGTTTTTGCAAAGTGTATAGGAAGGAAGGAAGTTGTGATGCAAGTTTCTGTATGTCACTTTTAAACCGGTCTATGCCCAGTACCCATTCCAGCCTCAGGCCGTCTGCTCAGCTTACCATCCAGGTGCAGCATTTAGCATTTGGACCCCAAACTACTTCACAAATAGGAGTAGATTGTGTTTCACTTAAAAGTAATCCAGTTGTCTAATGTGTCATAAGTTTGTTGTCAGCAGCATGAGCAGGTGAACTTAAATGGGAGATCTTTGGTTGCATTCTTTCTGGCTTTGCCAAGCTGTAAGTCAGTTTATTTACTTTTAGATAGCCTGAGCCACTGGGTGCTCGGCTGTTAGGTCCACGTAGGAATGTCAACATGAACTTGGTTCTCACATGTAGCTTCCCCAGTCTCACAGTCAGGACAGCACAGGCATACCAGCCCATTCTAGCATAATCATTTTTATGCAGCAAGGCAACTTTGTTTAAATCCACCTTCACACTTGAGTGAATAGGTTGTACAACAATGAGAAATCGCCTCTCCAAAACTGGAGAAAATAATAATCAGCTCCACCAATAATACTGAAAACCAGAGTTCTTGCTTTGACCATACAAGTAACATTTAATTTCCATAGCATAGGCCCTGCTGGGCAAGCAGCGATGTGAATGGCATAATAATTTAGAAGTTATAGCAAAAGCGCAGTGCACATCTCTGTAGAAACCTTGCTTGATTGTTCAGCAAGATGATGCAATGATGAGGACTATATGCATTGTCTGTGGGATCAAAGCGCAGCGTGTTTAATTAGAAAAAAATTATTCTTAATTTGAGAGACTTCTCAGGGTTAGTCTGTTTGAAACATGTTCAGCATTGCATTAGAGAATCTATTCTAGTGTAGGGTAAGTGGCTTTCTACTGAATATCTTAATCTAATACCCCAGTTAATCTTCTCAGACCATGTATGTATAAATACACTCAAATGGCAGTGACTGTTGGACAAGTGCTTTTTAAGTTGGCGGTATCTCCGTATTTGAAGAGCTTGTATTAATGGGAAAAAGAACTGTAAACAGCGTGAAACAAATTGTTTTGCTTTGACTTCAGTGCTTTCTGAAGATCAACTTGTATTTCAGCTGTACCTCTGTATAGTAGTTGTATCATTTGGTTAAATCTATTGTTAGAAAAGCTACATGAAAAAAATGCAATTAACGTACCAAGCCATTAGTTCCAGCACAATTTTATCCATTCAGTTAAAACTGCAAGTTACTGACTGAAACCCACACATGTGTTTTGTGTGCTCAGCGGTGGTGGGCATGGACAGAACTTCTATTTATACGCCGTAAGCATAGTCATAATTAAACAGTAGAAATATTTGTTACAGTGAAGCAGTAGCCCCTAAAAGGAAATAACCCTCTTGTTAATATTTATTTTTCAACCCAGGGCATGCTAACTATGTCTTACTTTCCTTTTAAGTTCATATAGTAAGTAACTGAACTCCCATATTAGTTTCCTGTTAAAGTTGAGGACTAGAGTGTGTGCATCCCCATGTGTTTAAGACTGCTGAAGCAACATCAGCTGAACTGTCAGCTCCTTCCTCTCTCTTTGAAGTCAGTTGCCAGAAATGACACCACATTTCTTGCAGACCTGCAATACCTCTCATGCAGAAGTAGGTACAGGGATACTTTTCATCCTGGACAAGCAATTAACAAAAAGCTTCAGTATAGCTTCCACCCTCGTTTCCTGCTTCGTTTTTATCTATAAAAGGCTTCTTGAAGGAAATGAAATTTATTCACCTGACTCTTTAGGTTGCCTGAGACAAGCAGACAGCAAATCTCTTGTCTGCAGAAGTAACCAAACCACAGAACAAGTTGCTCTGTCCTGTAGCAACAGCGGGGAGGGGCTTATTTTACATGAGAACACAAAAACTCCAACTTGCTAACACTGTTCTTCATTTGCCTTAGTCCCTCTCCCTCTTCACTCTGCCTTTGACACACCCCCCCAAGGTTTTCTTTAGCGATTTTGTGGTTGTGCCTGCGTGAGCAGGCAGCCCGGCCCACTCACAGTGTGTTTGTTTCCTAAAACAGCTGGTGCTGACATCCCAGTAACAACATTTCAGACACTACTTGTTCACAGCAGCTTTAGTATTGTCCCACCAACTGGTTGTCCGTTAACCACTAGATGCAGGAGGTAAGCCTCTGAAGCTCATCTCCCAGTCTATCACCAAAATCCATTCTATTTCACGTATTCAGACTGCTCCACCGTGCAAAGCAGGAGAGAATTAGCAGAAGCAATTAGATCAGCAATGTGCTTTTGAAGTAAAGGTTCCAAACCAAAGGGCTAAGGTATGCACTTCCAGAACTCTTACAAAACTCTGCTCTTCAGACCAAGTTCATTTTAGGGAAGTGATACTTGTAAGCTACAGCTTGATTCCTCATGGAAAGAAGGGCTTGCTCAAGCGGCATCATGTACTAGTAACAAAAAATACGGTAAGTAGGCAAGCAGAGCAGCTTTCTGCTTCTGTCATATATGAAAATACCAACTGGTTGAAGCGGGAAGTATTCTACTTTATCTGGCTTACCAGAAGGCCACAACTTAAAACAATTATGTGTTGAAAAGCCTAGTCTTGAAAAAAAAAAAACAAAACACACAAAACACCACACCATACAATTCTAAGCTAAGTTGTTGCTAACAATACGGTGGTATTGTTCCTAGGTAGGCAGAATCTGCCACCGAACTCTGTTTCAGGAACAATCGTATTCCCCAGCCATCGCAGCAGTCCGGGTTTTTTTAAAGCCTGCTCCCACCCCGACAAAGTAATTCATTAAGCCCAGAGAGCCCTTTCTGACCTTTGCTCTCCTCTCAGCAGGATGATCTGACTAAAAGGGACCCATGCGCCGAGCCTTGATTTCAAGCGAGGGGCTGCCTGGAGAGTAGAGGGTAGAGAATTAAATACTTTGGGGTTAAACCTTTGTTACTCTCAAGAGTGCTGGGCGCTTTTCAGGAATCCTTTAGCACTTCAGATTGCAGGTCAAGTAACGCACTTTCACCCAAGTTATTAAAATGAGTCAGTTCACTGGTCAAGTTGTAAGGAACTGTCAGTCTGAAAGTGTTTATTGTTTACTTAATACATTACATAAGTTAAAACACTTAAGTTCCTACTACAGTGTAGGTAACCACGCTTCCTTGTATGCTTCAAAAGCCCTAAGCGGTCGGTACAAAGATGCATCCCATAGCTCCACTCTAAGCAACGCAAACTCAAGGCCAGGGTCCGGATTTACCCGGACAGGCAGCTGCTTGGAATGCTGCTCCTGCCTTCATAGCCTACCTTGCATATCTTCAGAACGCGTTTGAAGTTGATTTTTCATGTTGCCAAATGATTTCCTAAAGGGGATGGCAGAGATCTGCAGCTCACGCAGTTTCACCGTGTTTAATACGGGATTTACAGAGCTCTGCGCTTGAGAAGGTCTCCTACTGAAGAAGGGGTGAAGTTTAGGGGCTCCACGATTCATCTAAGCAGGTTTGCCATTAGATAAGCAGCTTCCAAAACCCCATTAATGGTGTCCCCACCACTGCTGAACAATTTTATCTTCATGTTCGGTCACCAGGGTCCTATTACCGCATTCTTCCCAACGTCTGACCTTCTCATTCTCCACCAAGATAAATTTCCACTCCACTTTGGTGTCCACTGGCAGACTAACAGATTCAGACCAGAAGCCATCCTTGTCGTACTTGAGGGGAATGTAGCTGTGCCACTGGCCAAGACACTCGTGGTCACCGGTAACACCAATCAGCTGAGCGTCAGAGTGGGTGATGTAGTGTACGCGGAAGGTCACGTGGATATTTTGAAACATGGGGGGCACAGCTGCAACTCTCTTTGCTTTCAAGTCCCCATCAGGGCAGTCTCCTTGTTCCCATTCCTTGCTGTCGGGGTCTTCCACGCTGCCTTTCTTGCCAACCTCTCCCCAGGCCAGGTGCTCAGAAACCACTTCCCACTCTTCGTGGTCCCAGACCCTACTGTCAGCTGGCTGACCCGGCTGCTCCTCGCTTCTGTCCTTACAAACATCACCAGAAGCTCCTGCCGAGTTCATCACGCACCATCCATCACTTGCCTGTTCCGTCTGGGCTCTCAACTTGCTTCCATGCCTATCAGCTGGACGCTCCCTGGAGTCGGTGGCACCCTGCTTTGGGACCAGCTGCTCCGTCTCCAGACGTTCACCAGAAACTCCACCACTCGGAACTTGGTTGAGCTCCTTCCTCGCTCCAGCCGCCAGGTCCTCTCCAGCCTTCCGAGAGCCAGACAGGGCGCCAGCTTTGGCCTCCAGCAGCGCCCGCTCATCGCTCGCCACAACATCGCCTAAAAACGACAGAGAAATCAACCGGGAACGGTTTAAGCAGCGCGGAGAAGGTCAGCAGCAGCACACCCGAGACACGCCGACCCCCGGCTCCATCCCCGCAGCATCCCCGCCC